GAGCGGAGGGAGGGGGGGAGGGAGAGGCCCCCCCTCGGCAGGGATCGGACTCTCGGGTCCGCCGAGCGGAGCGGGCTGCGGTAACGCTGCTGCTTCTCTGCGGACCGCGGCTCCCGCAGCGATTGCGGTGGGCGGCTGTTCGGAAGCCCCAGCCTGGCGCGGGGCGCTGCGCAAAGCTGCTCCAGCGAGCGTGGAGTTACTGCTGTGAACTTTTCTGCGGGGAGGGCAAACGCAGAAACTCTCCTTGTAGTAAGACTTCATTCCCTAGGAACAACAAATACCCTTTTTTTCTGAATTCTTTTTTTTTTTTTTTTTATGGGGTTAATTGCGGTACTCTTGGGGTGACTAATAAGCAGGGTCTGAACCTCAGCTGGGCAGCCTTGAGCAGGGAGGCTGCTTTCCCCGTGTCAGCTGCACCTCGGAGAAGGCAGAGGGGTTGCGTTTCCAGGGTGCTTTTAGCCACATTGTTTTGCAGGGTTTGCGCTCTCGGTGTGGTTTAGTTTTATTTCCTAACGATTTGGAAGCCTTCCTTATACACGCTGTTTTTTGCAGTTTGCACTTAAGGTTCTTTTTTAGCATTAATGGCATTATTTGGTTGGGATGATTTATGAGCTTTTCTTGTGGATGTCTGATAAGGAAAAGCTTGGAGCGGTTGCTTTGTTTTTTTAATATTATGCGTGTGCTTCTTGAAAGCGCACTTAAAATGACTTTCTCCTGCAGAGTTGCTGTAGGTTGCATTTGGGGATAAAAGTGGGGTAACTGTCTCTTTCTTGTTTTTCTTTTTTTCTTTGCTTTTTTTTTTTTTTCTTTCTCCTCCGGTTCTTTCTTGGGATGAACAGGTGACTTTAGCGTCGGGACAGTTCGAGTTGGAGATCTTATCCATGCAAAATGTGAATGGTGAACTGCAAAATGGAAATTGCTGTGATGGCACCCGAAACCCGGGAGATAGAAAATGCACCAGAGACGAGTGTGATACCTATTTTAAAGTTTGTCTGAAGGAGTATCAATCGCGGGTCACTGCTGGTGGTCCTTGCAGCTTCGGATCCAAATCCACTCCTGTCATCGGAGGAAATACCTTCAATTTAAAGTACAGCCGGAATAATGAAAAGAACCGGATTGTTATCCCTTTCAGCTTCGCCTGGCCGGTGAGTTGCATGGCCTGCTCTAGCTCTGCTTCTGTTGGACGGTGCTGTTTGAGATGGCTGTAGCTGAGCCGAGCTCTAACTTCTTGCACAGGGGGAGAGGAACCAGGAATGGGGAGGGAGCAGGCATCTTGGCAAGAGTATCAGGAATCTGCAGCACAGAAATGAGTAAAATGTGGTGGTGTTTTTGTTTGTGTTCCCTGGGGCTCACAATGCACAGTCTGTTAAATTTGAAAGTCAGATGTGCAGCGAGGGGGATCTAAATGGATCAGGGAAGCAAACCCAGTATCTCTGCACTTTACAGCATGAATAAGGCTCTTGAGACTTAGAAGGTCAGAAGTCCTTTTTTTTTTTTTTCTTTTTTCCCCTAACCAGTGAAGTCTTGGGCTTAAGCCAAAAGAGCAATGGGTTAGGGGCTGTAGAGGGATCCCGTGTGAAAAGTGTGTGTCATAGCTGGCCTCCTTCCCTGGAGCATGTTTGGGAAGGCTTCCTGCTCCTCCCAAGGGGAAATCTCACTGCACTGCGTGGTGTTGATGGGAGCTGCTGTTGCTGCGCTTGATGAAATAGTTGTCAGCCTCCATGGGAAGCTTGCTATGTTTTCAGGTACTTGTAGACCCTAGAAGCTACAGACTGAGAAAAGCCTGGCCTTGGCTTTTGGTCCATTTCATCCACTCCTCCTCACAGTACACCTTTTTCTGGCTACTTGCCTCTGCGGTCCATAGATTCCAGCTTCCCTCTAGTTGTGTGCAAAACTCGATGTCTCAAGGAGGTGGGGCTCTTTGCCAGGCACTTTCCCAGCGTTGTCTGCTCTAGCAAATACCGGTCAGCCTTGTAGAGCAGTGAGATGGAGGAACGGGTGGTGATCCCTTTGTTAGCTGAAGCCTGCTTTGTTATTGGTCATGTAAAGCACAGTTGCTTAGACCTCAGTGCTGCTTGTTTCTTCTGGGGTGCTCAGGAGGCTTGAAGCTTTGATATGGTCAGCTCTGCAGAGGAGTCCCTACTTGGTCCTCAGTTTCTGTGCAGCATCTTTCCAAAATGGCCATCACTCAGGACAGACCCACAGATGCAGGCTCCAGGGCCATAGGGTTTCTGGACATAGAAGACTGCCATGGCCTTGGATGGCAGGAGGTGCATGTGGTATAAAAGCTGAAAGCTCCCAAATTTATGCTCCTAAAACTTGTATTTAGAGATCACCTAGGAAACAAAACTGTTTTTTCCCCCTCGCCTTCTCCAAAGGTGCTGAGCAGACAGTTTCCCACTGACTGCCTTGGGATATGTTGATGTTCAGCAGTTTTGAAAATCCAGTCATCCTAACTTAGATGCCTAAGGTCATTTTTGCGAGGGGAGGAGGGCTCTTACATGCACGCATGGGAGGGGTGAATCTTGTTTCCGATCCTCTGTCACTGCTGGCGAGGCAGAAGCATGCGTAGACTTTCTCTTCCCTCTAGAGCTTGGCCTACGGCCAAGTGCTGCAGGCAGCCATGTGTTCTTGAAATGTCCTGTGCTGCCTCCTACCTGCCCTCCTCTGTCAGTTGTGACTTCTGGAGTATTGAGGGCTGAAGAGGCAGAAGGGTGAAATCAAGTCTGCATTTTTAAGGAGATAGTATTACGAAGTACAATAGCAGAGTTAACAAAAGTATTCTCTGTTGGAAGTACAAGTCCGCCCTTTCTTTCTCTTTTCTGTTTTTTTCTAATGTGAAATGAGATAAAACTGTTATCAAATATGCCATCAAAGGGATAAAGGGCTTTGTAAAAATCTGAGGTATTTGAAGCTCTGCCAATGGCTGCAGTGCTTGTGCTGCAGATTTTTACTTTTTTCAGAAAAATCAGGTTCATCAAGGATTTTTTTGGTTTTGTAACTAGTCCCCTACCCTACTCCCAGTAATATAAGTGCCTTGAATCTGAAGATATGCATATGTATATAAAAATTATGTGAAAATTGAACATGTTCTTTCTAACAACCTCTCCTTTCATAGGGTTGGGAAGGGAAATCAGTCATAGAGGGTGGGGTTGGGGGGGTGGGGTCCGTGGGAGAAGTTTCTTAAGCTTGCCTGCATCTTAGTAAAAGAAAAAATGCTTCTATTGTCCTGCTAAATCTCATTGAGCACTGGAGTCCTTGAGCAGCAGCAGCGAAACTCCAGTGCAGCCTTTGAAATGTGTGAAACTTGACAACTTCAGACACTCTGGTTCCTAAAGCTGGATTTTTTGGAATAAACTTTTGCGTATGCCCATGAAGAAATGTACTTTTTGAGATGGTGATGATACTCTGTTTGCAATTATCAAGCCTGCATCCCAGCTTTAACTTCCATAGAACACAGCTTTTATGCTAGCTATTGTGACTTTAAAATGGCATTTGAACAAAAGAATATCTAATGTGGCAAAGCTCTTATTTATACTAAAATTGTGTACACAAATCATTCTAGGCATTTGGAAAGCTCTGCAGATAAAGTAGTAAACTTAATTAGTCCACTCAAATCTGATGCTGAAATTTCAGAACTGAAAAAAAATTTCTTTAGATGGGTGAATACTGTTGACTTTGATAAATGCAATGCTAATCTCAAGCTTTTACGAATGTGGCTAATTGTGAAAGTTGTCTTTGAATACATCCAACTGAAAATTACAGTAATGGTAATAGGAGCTAGACAGAAATGTTAATCATATTGCACTTGAAAATTCGTGCTCAACTCTGAATATGTATTGTTTGTGTTCTGTCTGAGGGAGGCTTTTCTTGGATGTTCCATCTTGAGTCAGTAATGCTAAGAAGTCTTGTTGCCTTGACTACTTTAAAAAAAAACAACAAAAAAACCCCAACTTTTCCCATGGCAAGCTGCACCCTTATGCCGTTTGTGAAAAATAGGTATATTGCATTAGTGATCTTTATTCATCATGCAAGAAAGAAAGAAAAGAGAATGGTGTGCTTTAAATGTATTGTTAGATTTGGCTTGTAGTTGTAATGTAGATTTGAAGAGTCAGAGTCTTATTAATAACTTATGTGGTTTGCTCTTGTCAGTTTTGATATGTACCCCTGTGAGTAATGGGTATGGAGATGGTGGGCCATAAATTAAAATAAGTGATGGGAGGTTTGAGTGAGTTGCTAGGAAACGGGGCAGCAGACCAGCATAAGGGAACTAGAGTACATCAGAAAGCTGCCCCTGCAGTAGCTAGCAATTCTTTAGTAAATTGAAACAATAATAATGATGATGATGATTAAAAAAAAAATACACACAATCTTGCTTCTTGCATTCATTTTGAGACCAGTGACTTTCTTAACAGGCAAACTTGGCTTATGAAGTCATATAGAAAAGTATGGAACAAAAGAATTTCCGTGTTCTGCTTGTCAATGTCTGTCTCAACAAGTTTTGTTTCATGGTAGACACATGCTCTTTTCTGACATAAATCAAATCTCCTGCCTTGCTTAAAGAATCCAAAGTGTGATGTCTGCTATACCTGAAGGGAGCTGTGCATGAAGTAACTAAGCAAAGCTTAGCACTACACTTTTCTTTTGTATTAAAGACAGATCTTCTGGAGGTTTAGCAAGACTGTGAGTAAGAAGGAGGTCAAACTTGGCAATTCCTTTGGTATGCACAGCTCCAATTTAGAATGGCTTGTTCATCCTGAAATTATGATCCTTGTAATTATTTAATATTGGGGCCAATTGCACCAACACACCAGGAAACTACTGAGATGGAAAAAAACCATCCAGCATCTAAATGACTTAAGCTTAAAATACAATTAAAAAGAGTTTTGAACATCTTATTTCAACCTTATTCTAAAAAATAGTCAGCCTTTCTCCTTTTTAATGACGATTCTTATTGCTACTGGTTCCTGAAGATGTGAAACATATTTTCTGGGTAGGCATTAGTTTTTTCTGGCAAGAAAGAGATAATGAAAGAGCTTTAGTGGTTTTTAAGCTTTGTGAACTCTGTCTTGACACAAGAGGCTTCCAAAATACTAATCTGCAGCTGATATTAAAGTAACAGCTTTTTGAATCTGAGAGAAAAATATCACTTCATTCAATTGCTTTTTTTTTTTTAACCCAGTAGTCACAGTCATAAAACTAAAGCTTGTTTTTTGATTTTGTTTTTCCCTCCCTCCAGTTAACTTTTTGAAAACTTATAGAAGCAAATTCTAGATATTGTTCAAGGTTTTCTTAAAGAATGCCTGATAAGTCATCTTGGAGCATGGGCAGATCAGAAGAAATTTCTATAATAACAAAATGCATATTGATCAAATCCACACTGTGTCATTTATTGTTGGCTAATAAATTAAGAATAAATCTTCAGTACTCAAAGTGCAGTGTTTTGCCTAGGATTACTATACAAAATGGAGCTGAGAGTATTAAATGACATCTGAAGCATAATGAGCATCCACAAGGCTGTTTTTTCCTAGGACTGCAGAGAAGTGATGCATACATTTGGAGGTTTTGGACTTCTTGCATGTTCTTAAGAGTTATTTATGTTCCAGTCAGTTCAGAATTTCATCTTCCTGGTAAATCCATTTGACTGTATTACCATAATATGTCTAAAAATAAATCCTCATCCTGCCTGCTCCAAGAATTTTTGTTCTTGTTATAATAAAGGCCTGCTCCGGTTTAACTTCAGTGGCAGCTGCATTGGGACTGGCCGCTGAGGCTTATTCCTCAACTTTCTCAGACTGCATACGTCCAGCACTGTCAGCTTGTTTATGCAGCTGGAAGTCTGTGTGCCTGAAAATGAATGGTGTAAAATTGATACTTTATGCTTAAAATTCTAGTTAACTCAAGGAGACTTACCTCTTCATTGCGGACTGAAGGCTGAAAGAGAAGTAAATTAGTTCTGAAGCTAGTAAAGTTGCCCCTTAGCTAATTGAGATGATGTGCCATGCAAGAGGCTTGCACTCTCATACATGGCACACCAACTTCAGTTTTTAAGTCTGATGCCCTGCAGTACATGCAAAAACCTTAAGCTGCAGGTGTTAAAAGTATTTCTGTGTAGACAATACTAGTGACAGGATTGGTTTTGAAA